ATTAATCCAAGATGAATAAAAATTCGCAATATCTAAAAAGAGATCACATATTAATTTATGATATAGATCAAATGAGGTTTTATATTATTCCGATACATTAAAGTAATCGATATAGTTAAAAACGTATCCAAATGTAGCGAGATTTACTACAGTGCATTTTTTTTATTGCTGAGTAGCGCTTGGTATTAATGTGCATCAATTACCGTGGCAGTCCCATTCATCAAATATAATAATAAAAATAACATTATTTTCGTTACACGTGATGTAGAAAACTTGCTATCGAAATTATCATAATAATAAAATAAATACTTTTTAACTTTATTTCGTTTAGATCCGTACGATTTCTTTTCATGCGCTCAATATTATAAAAATACATATATAAGCTGAGCATACCGCCAAAGCTGTTAGGGAGGTGCCAGTACATTGTACACCATTTGCATATTATTCGGCTACGACAAGAAAGAATGTTGGAAATAAGCAATTATTATTATTATAGAGTATTGAAAATATAGCGGGGAAGTCGACGACAGAAAAGATTTATTTTCGCATAATAATGTACATGAGTTTTTTTTTTTTGACTTTTTCTGAGTCGTAAATAATACTTTTTGGATTTTGCGATTTATGATTTCCACAGTTTCGTTCGTATTCGTTGAATAAAATCCGTTTACTAAGTGCACCAATACGTTTTATGAACCGTAACTCTTACCGTTTCCAAACGCATTAAAACTAAAATCATTTGTATACGTTTTCACGACGGTCTTCTCAGACGAGCGCTGTGAAACGGAAAAAGGAAGAGAAGTACGGGTGACAACAGAAAGAGTTGAACGCTCGTGTGCACCTTAGGCTATGGTCTATTGAGTAGGATAAAATAACTAGTAATTATAGTGCTCTTTAGCATATTAATGGGTTTAAAAATGAGAGTGAGAGTATTGCTGAATATGACTGCATAGAAACGTTTTTTAGTATGTTTTTTGGATACTAAAGAATCTGAATAAAAAGAAAGAAACATTCTATCGGTCTGCGAATCACATTATTTATCACAAATTGATTGCTTCAAGTAAATAAAAATAGTTTAAAAAAACGTTATCTTGGTATTTTTTCATTATTTGACAAAATATCTTATTATTTTTTGTGTAAATGTAGCTTCGATAAACTTACTTTGTGCGGTACAATAAAGTTTTTAAATATTTTTCTTTGTATTTTCGATTGTTGTCAGTATTAATTATTATTACCTTATCAGTGTCAATAGATATCTTTCAGATTCTGTCAATGAATCTCTATTAGATGATGCCGTCAGTTCACAAATCAGTTTCGGTAGGCAAGATTCCTTGATTATGTTAATCAACTTTACTCTGTTTGAGTAAGATTTAGCTGAAAATATCAACAAATTGTTTCAAATTTTTACAATAGAATCTTAACGAGAAAAAATATTGTGTAACAGTAGAATGTAAATAAAATGTATGTAGTAAATTACACCATTAAAGTCTGTCGATAAAAGTGGTTTCAGATTTTGTGAAACCGGTTTTCTACTTCTTTTACAAAATCTGAAAGTTGTGTAATGAAACAAATTGCATCCAAATGTTTGGTTAAAGTTATGTAAAAATTTGTTAAATTTAGTATTTAAACATTAATTTGTATAATCATAATTCGTTTACTTTTCGAATACCTCTAATGTTAGTTATCATATAAAATATAATTAATTTGTTATCAGTAAATTAATTTAGTGATTAAACACTTATCATATAGAAATCATAAACAAAAGTCTTATATGTGATTAACTATAGTTTATAAGGCTTAATTTATAAAACAATTTTATAGATAATTAAGAAAATTTGCATATAAGTTTTAGTATTTTATAGCTTAAACATTGATTATTAATTAACAATTAACTTATAAAAAAAATCTTTTTTAATGGTTTTATTAAATATTTTAGTCAATTTGGTCATGAGTACCAAGGGTTTTTTCTTAACTCATTTATTTAAGCCTTTCAAGGTCTGTCAGACAATAGAAAGTATAATCTTTGTTAGACAATAAATTAAATTTTGTACTTGCCTAAAGATTCTATGTCTGAATTTGCTTCTTCGTTTGTTCCTTTAGTAGCTAAGTTTGTTTTTGTAGTAGATTTACTATATCCAGATTCGTCCAAAAAACTTCTAAGCATACTTGTTATATCACCAGTCAACAACAAGAAAAGGACAATCAATAAAGCGAAACGCGTTAATCCAGAATCCATTGTTGATGGTTGAGGTATTATCGGATTCAAAGCATATTATCATCAATAATTTAGTTAAAAACTTGAAATTTTGTAAGCCATATTACAAATTTCAAAAAAAAAAAACTCACCAAAGAATATGATCGACTGCTGTACAGTAATGTTTGTCAGTTTCACACAGTACCGGCGTCCTTCGCATGCGTCGCTCCCCCCTGCACGACGGAGCTGAACGTCTATACGGAGTGGCCTACATAGTCGGTAAACCCCCTCTGATCTTCCGAAGGTAATGTTATTTAATGTAACAAGTGAAAGTTACGTTGGATAAAAAATACAACGAGCAAAGCCATAATAGCCGCAGCCGTCAACTGTTATCGCATCGAGTCTGATGGTACCTACGGCTATAGTGTAGAAACTGTTGACTAACGTCTGGTCTAATGATGTTATCGTGTCAGTGTCACAATTGCCTTAAAATTTTGGACCATTATTATTGTGTACAAGTGGTTTGCATTTTGAATATCAATTAGGTAAAAATGGTGAAGCCACACAAAAAACTATAATATGTCTTATAATGTACTCTTTTTATCACAAATAAATTTAAATGAGTTATGCGTTTAAGAATGATAAATGTCTAAATATAGAAATGGCTTTATTTAAATTGTTGTATCTAAAAAAAAAAATGTCATGCTATCGTAATGAATCCGACTACAATAGCTTCGAGAGTTGTGCTTATAAATACGAGTTAGGCTCATAGAAAATTGTTAAGTATGTTAACAACAAATCCCTTGTGTTGACCGTGGAATAATGGGGCGCTAGGGTTTTGAAACAAGTTATACAAATAGTAGATACAGGAAATCACTATTCTAGAATTATGTAATTTTATTTAATGCTCATATTAACCCCGTGCACTTAAGTAGCAAGTGTGCCTATTTGCCAACTTCTATGCGAGTACATATTTTTCTATAACTTTCCTATTCAATTAAAATACCCTTTCGAGTGTTCCGCAATTGAATTTTTATTCACTCAGTTGATTCTTTGTTTTACTACTTATTTTTGATTCTTTGTAGTATGGCCAACAAATGATTTTGATACAATAGTTCTTCATGTGTTTTGTAATTTTAAGTACATAATTCAATATGACCGTTTGAATAATATGATACTAATATAATGAATAATATGATGTCTATTTTTTAAACATTGAAATGTAATCTACAAATTGTGTCTTGAGTAATGGTAATAAATAATACAGAAATACTAGAGACATTTCCTAATAATATCTACTGACCTAGGTTTAATAGACTAATTTAGAAAAGAAACTTCTTTACCGAAAATAAAGTAGTCTACAACAATAACTTTCAAGGTCTATCGTTACTTAATGGTTATTAAAAAGAAACAAATCAATAAACTAAACGTAATATAAATGTTTAAAGGTTGGTTTAAATTTGTAATTTTGTGTTTAATGAATTAATATAGCTATTTTTTAAGAATAACGATATTAAATTACATCTATACTTGCCTGTAAATATTGAATTTAGTCAAGTAATTTGATAAGTGACCAAGTTTTATAAGTAATTTTGAATTTAATAAATTAAATTAGTCAAATATTACATTGTTCTCTTATAGTTGTTAAATAAAATATTATATAAATACTGTTCGAATACGCGTAAAGCATACTCTTTTTATTTTATTTCATCGTTCTTTTTTAATTAAACAATTGCACATACATCATCCGCCCTAGATGACATCGAAAAGCTTTAGTAGCGTATTAAAAAAATAGACAATTCAATTTTAGTACAGCAGACAAAGAAAATATAAGTAAACTAAAAAAAATAGTTGCAGCTAATAAACATGATAATATTGTAAATAAAAGTAACATGGATATTAAAATAAGATAACTTGGTATTTTGATGATTTTCGTTTATAGTTCAAAGTCATCATTGTTTAATTAAATGCTAAATTAACTTATTAACTAAATAATGATATACCATTGGATACTTAAAGAGAAGATTTACAAAAAAACATAAATATTTAAGGAATATTAAAAATGACAAAAAAAAGTATGTAATGAATAATAATTACTTTTTTAAAGATTATAGATTTGCTTAGTTGTCGAAAATGAGATTTGATTTTTTCATATTTACTGGTTTTAAATTTTATCTAAATAAAATCCTTTATTGAAAATGACATAAATTTTTAATATTAAAAAATATTAAATAAAAAAAAACATAAGTTTAAAAACAAATTTTAGTAGTATCATTAATTATTTTAGTTCTTATAGCATGGGAATATTAGAAAAAAACATAAAATTCCAAGTAACCAATATTAAAAATCTAATGAATAAAATAAAATAACGATTGTTCAAGTATTGAAACCTTTGTTATGTAGAAATTAAATAAATTGAAATATTTTTGGATTAAATTAAGGGTTTGGGACGAGCTATTCAATTTTTTTTAATAATTTATTTTCTCAAAATATAATAATTAGGATAAAAAACGATATAACAGGGGGGTCGCGGCACAGTGTGTTAATATTTCTGGAAAATGTTCAAAAACTGAGTTGAAAAAGTTAAAATTTTGTGAAAAACTTGTATATAAAATTTGTTATTTGGAATCTCCTCTGTGATCAGGATAAAAGTCAGATTTTCAAAAAATTTATATTAAATGAAAGAAGTAAACATAAAGTATTTATGAAAAAATATCTGATCCATACATTTTTCGAAAAGTTATAGTAATTTAATGTTGAAAAAATAAAATCATTAAAAATTTAACATCAAAATTGCATGTTTTTTAACTACGGCAACCATTTGCACATAGAAGATAAGTTGTTGGGTCAATTTTTTACTTATATTATTTATCATAAGCTTTAATTTGATATATATTTAAAGCTTGGGGTATTTCCGAAACATTTTCAAAACTTAAGTTGAAAAAGTTAAATTTTTGTGCAGAAATTGCTATTTTGAATCCTCCTTGTAGGCAGGTAAAGGGTCAAATTTTCAAAAACATTATATCAAATGAAAGAAAAATTTCTAAGGTTTTAATATAAAAAAAAATTATTTTAAATTGTACATTTTTCAAAAAGTTACGGCAATTTTTAGAAAAAAAAAATTGAAGAAAATGTTGAAATTCACAGATTCTAAAAATCGTAATTTCTTGGGGGATTTTAACTATTTACGGAGAACGAGGACAAAATTTTCAATTTTTGAGGTTAAATTCTTCAACTAGATACAATTTATGATCTTTTGACGTATCTTTGAGAAAAATCGATCCAGCGAGAAAAAGTAATGACAGACACACACACAAAAAAAAAAAAAACATCAACAGATCATGGTAAAATTAATACTTTTTCAGCTTCGCATCAAAGCTAAAAAAGTGGTAGAATTTAAATCATTTACTTCTGAATATTACAATATATTAATTTGAATTGCTTTTAGTTCAATACTATTTAACTCATACAGGAAGTGTCACTTATTTTATACAACCCTTAAAAAATATTAATTATACTAAAAAAAAAAAAACTATGAAATCTAGATTTAAAGAAAAACAAATTTTTTGTTAAAATAAGAGTTTATTGTAAATAGTTATTTGAGTTTATTTCTACAATTTGAATTGGCTACATCTATTTTTAGGTATAAACTTTAAGAAATCATCAATAATTTAGTTTGAGCATTATTCCTTATGAAGTTAGTATTATCTGAATAACAAATGACATAAAAATTATACGATAGTGTTTTGAGGCAGCTGTTAGAAATTAAATACTTATCTGCCAAATTAGTCAGGATTTATAGACACTATAATCTAGTTTATTGAGATAATTCTTGAACCTGTTCGTCATTCATTAGCATACTATTAAATATAGCACCCCTAGGCTAAAAAAATAAACACAAATATAACCAAACATCGATTATAAGTACTTTGGGTAGGATTATTGTGGAATATTCATTCACTTGTCCACGCATTTTTAGGATTTAACGTTGGTAATATTATTATAAATTCGAAGGGTACGATTAGGTTAAATAATCGTAACAATAATACTCTAAAATTCAAATTGTCCTTCATTGTAATCCTGTTTTTTAATACTGCGTACCCCATAAATCTACCCTTGTATGTGCAATACTTGAAATCCTGAAATATTATCTCCACATATAATAAGGCTAATAAGTAAGTGGAACATCGGGCAGGCTCTTTTTTAAAACACAAGATGTCATTTACAATACGAAATTGTCAAGTGTTGAATAAATAGAACAAATGGATTCTGATTCAGAATTTGCGTAAAAACATTAGGGGACTTTGAGATGCATAAGAATATTATAATATCGTATGGAAAAGTTCTTTCACTGAACAGTAAGTGTTTTCTTGCACATAAGTAATAATGTACTGTCGTCAATTAATAATTTTTCTTATATATTTCTTTAGAACCTCCAGGTTGGTACTACATTAGTATTGAAATGATTTTTAGGTAAGTTAAAAAAACCAAAGTAAAATTTATAAATATGTTTTGTATTTTCCTTAAAATACAAATTAATAAAAAGATTTTTAGTTTTTTTAATTATATGTAAGTTAAGATCAAGTAATATAATCGTTCCCTATTATATGTTAAAAAAAAATCCAAACTCTTGGTAAATAAAAAAATTATTTCAAAATTATATGTTCTACAAAACAATTTCAATAGTAAAAAAATACTTATCCTGGGATTTTTAAATAAAAACGACATTGCGGTCAAATTGTTTTAAACCCATTAATTCCACGTGACCACGTGTAAAAATAAAGGCATTATACTCTGTCACGTGAAATTCAATTCAGCATTGCAAATAATTATTCTAGGAGGTTGTAAAAAAATATAAACCGGTTTAGTATAAAATGTTAAAAAAACATGTTAATAATTACTTTTTAAAATTATTTTAAACTTATATTTAAAAATTACTTGCCGAATAAACTGAGGTAAACGCCTATATTTTTAATAAATAATAGCTTTTCATAGATTAATAGTAGCTCTAATGGGAATCCAACATTTTTTTTAAACGAAATTGTGTTTTTTGGATAATGTACACGACTTGTTTTTATTCATCTTCATGCAAACACTGAATATTTTTTGAGAATATAAATTTTTTAATAGTATCTCTTTACGATGCTTCATCTGGTAAAATCGAGTAGACATTTATTGATTCATCTAGTAACGGATGTTGATCATCAAGCTGAGTTTTTTTATATAAATCATAATTTTTTATGT